AGGGGGGCTGTGGAGTCTCCTCTGGAGATATTCAAAGCCCGCCTGGACGATGTCCTGTGCAACACGCTCTGGGTGACCCTGCTTTAGCAGGAGGGTTGGACTGGATGATCTCCCGAGGTCCCTTCCAACCCTTGCCATTCTGTGATTCTGTAATTCTGTGAAAAATGAAGATGCAGGGCCTGCTGATGGTGCCCTGGGCTCTGGAGCAGACTCCGTTACAGGCTTCATTTAACTACTCTGAAAATGAAGCCTTGCGGACAGCAGCAACACTGGCACATGAACCAACCAGGAATATGGATCCTGCACAGCACCACACTAGTGAACTGTGATAACAGCCCAGTCAAAACCTGCACACCGCAAAGGCTTAAGGATGCTCGCTTCAAGCTCAACTCTTGATCTGGGATTTTGCTAATAGGCTGTGTCCTGATAAAGCTCAGGCGTGAGCCTTCCTGGATAGGAGATCTCTGTAAGGACCTGGCTGAAATCAAGCTTTCAGAAAGTGGCGGTGGTACCTTTTGGAAAAGAGACCAAGACGCTCTCAGTACCTGTTTGCCCCAGGGTGTGGTTAAAGACCCATCCTGCAATATATCTCTTCAATTCATGGCTTGGTCCTTCTCCCAGGGGAGAACGCTCCACCTCCTCTCACCAGGGAGCAGGCTCCCCCCTTTCTGCTCTGTCCAGAAAAACCTGCCAGGCTGTGGAGGCATAAGCCTTCCTGGGCTGAGCCACAATTTATCCCTGGCTTTCTTCAGCCCTAGGGACTGTCACCAGCAATGTACTCTGTGTCTTATTTTACTTGTTCCTGTGGCTTCCTCAGAATTACCTCTCACATGCCTCATTGCAGTGCTTATGCATTTGGACCAGGTTAGTTTAAAAGTCATCTCAGAAGACTCCAGACTCTTGACCACTTTCTGGCAGAGTGGAATTGCCTCATGCATGCAAGAGAGGACTTTGCAGGGGGGTGGCCCAGAGTAGTGGAAGCAATTCCTACAAGAACAGCATGCTCAGCAAACTTCTAGCCCAAAGTGCAACTGAAGCTCCACTTTCCTTGTGTGGAAGGTCCAAATGAAGGTCCCATTCAATGGGGTCTTCATAAGGTGAGTCAGGGCACACGCGTGCACCGAAACAGCTCCCACTGACTTAATGAGAAGCTGAGACTCCTAATCCAAGCTCTGAAGTTGGCTCCCTGAAGTGAGGTTGTGTGAGATGGCCCAGTTTAACATTTTTTGTCTTTTCACAGGCCTCCGATGCCTGCTAAAGGAGCAGCTCCCTAAGAGCCAGGATGTAATGGAACAATATTGCACAGTTTGACTCTACACTCATCTAGGGCTGGCCACATAGTATAGCCCTGATCTGCAGTTTTAAATAACACCAAATGGAAATTCTGGCACAAAATCCAAACCTTACAGCTCCATTCACCCTGGCATATGTGTTTCGTGCGTACCCTCATTATGGTGCCATGGCCATATCATACTTTTCATACATGAGCTTCAAGAAAAGGACAGAAAGGAATTGCAGATGCAATAAACTTTGATAAGGTGGAAAGCACTGTTTGTTCTAATATTTTTTCAAGGTATCAACATAGTCTTTTCTAAAATTTTAAAATTTTCTAAAATATTTTTCATAATTGCTCGGTCTTTTCAGAAGGTAGGTAGAACAAGCAGTACAGCCCACAGTGAGGGAAAGAAAGGAATTTGACATCTCAGGGAGGAAGGGCAACCACAGAAGTAAGCAAAGGTGTTGCCCATCTTAAACAACTGCAGAAAGTATAAAAGGGGATCAGAGCAGAGAACTTTGGAAAATTTGGAATGAAGAGAAGCTGAACATCCTGAAATATGTCATTCCCAGGATGCCAAGACTCCAAGGATGCCTACACATGGTTCAGTGTTACCTTGTTATTAGGGTCTATATATCATAGAATCCTAAAATGGTTTGTGTTGGATGGGACCTTTAGAGGCCATCTAGTCCAGCCCCCCTGCAATGAGCAGGGACATCATCAGCCAGATCAGGTTGCTCAGAGCCCCATCCAACCTGGCCTTGAATGTTTCCAGGGATGGGGCATCTACCACCTCTCTGGGCAACCTGCGCCAGTGTTTCACCACCCTCATTGCAAAAAAAGTGTTCCTTACATCTAGTCTGAATCTACCCTCTTTTAGTTTAAAACCATTACCCCTTGTCCTGTTGCAACAGTCCCTACTAAAAAGCCTGTCCCCGTCTTTCTTATAGGCCCCCTTTAAGTACTGAAAGGCCGCCATAAGGTCTCCCTGCAGCCTCCTCTTCTCCAGGCTGAACAACCCCAATTCTCTCAGCCTGTCCTCACAGGAGAGGTGTCACAGCAAAGTTTTGCACAGTTGTATATGCATCCAATAAAGGTTCTCAGTGAGAGGATGGACTGCCTTTGTCTTGGTTTCTGACTGCTCTACCACCCACTCTCCAGACTTAACACTGCGATAGCACTACAGGAGGAGTCCTTGCTGAACTGGACTACTGCCATCCAGACAGTACAGCACCACTGAACCTGCTCCCACCAGTGACGGTGAGGGGGATCTGCAGTAGGGCCCTCTCTGCCCACCATCTAATGGGGTGGAAGGTGCTATTTCTATGTTACAGAACACTACTAAGCTTAAAATAATGTCCTTTTTTTTTAATTGTTTGGTGCCAATGTAAAACTATCAGACATGGCACTTGCAGAGTCAGGTCAGTTTGTGCATCAAATGCCATGGTCTTTAAGAAGCATAAAAAGAAGTCCCCAACTCCTCTTGCTAGCAGAACCGTATGGTCCAAGATGCAGTTCTCAATTCACAGGGAACAGGAGCCAGTCTGCGTGGAAACCTTCCAGAAATCTGTGTTGTTCTATCACCTCCAGCAAAGCTGAAGAAGAGAGAAGCATGAAAGCACTTGCATGACTTGCTTTGCTACTACATTCACCATTGCCTACCACTATGACTAAGGGATACCAGTACTAAATTTACTCTGAAGGATGAGAAAATTCCAAGAGATTCACAGGGGTCCATTTGCTGTCTGAAGAATATCATAGTGAATCCCAGATGGTCATTGGAAATATTTACACTTCATTTTCTTTTTCTGCAGAGAATCCATACCTAATTAGCATTTCCTAACAAAAGAAGAGTTTCCTCCAAAATAATCAGAAACATCCAGATATTTCTTGGGAAGATGATTAGTGAGGATGGACATCTGGTAGCTCCCTCAGAAAATCTCTTATTGATGCCTAAGTGGTACAGGTATTGAAAGTTACATCTTTGCAGTGGAGGAAGATAATGTATGTGCCTAGTTAAAATCATTAACGTTAAAGGCCTGAATTAAATATGGGCACATAAAAGGAAGGTGCAGGCAAAGGCTCTAATTTTAGAGCTCCATTATTATAGTCATGGGTGCACATAGCAAATATAGCGTGGTTAATCCCAGTCTAATACGAAGTGCTAAATCATTGCCGGCTAACATGGCCATAAGC